ATAAAAAAATATTTAAAATATTTTTTCGATAAAATATAATGACCAAAATACCCCTTAAATTTTTCAAGGGTATTTTTTTTATTTTTTATTGAAAATATTTTGTTTATATTTTTCGCTAGTGCGAGTTTAATAGAGGAATGGACGTCCAAATTTTGGTGTAAAAATAATTTATAGAAAAAACATGAAAAATAAAATAGTGTTGAGATGTGACATTACAATTGAAGCAATCTTAGCCCTCCATTCAGAATGGACGGTTAGATAAGGGGAAATATATAAGTTTTATGTTGTAGGAGAAGCATAGAAAGCTTACCCAAAAAATATATACTAAAATATTTTTTAGAGAGAGAAAAAAGAGGTTGGGCTTTTAAAGAGAGAATGAGATTGAGAGAGGGAGAGAGAGATTTCGTTATTAGAGAGAGAGAGAGAGATTAGGTTCTTAGAGAGAGAAAGAGAGGTCGTGTTTTTAAAGAGAGAATGGGTTTTTAGAGAGAGAAAGGGAGAGTGAGTTTTATTGAGAGAATGAGATATTAGGTTTCTAGAGAAAGAGCATAAGTTTAGAGAGAGCTAGAGATTGGTTTTTAGAGAGAGAAAGGGAGATTGAGTCTTCTAGAGAATGAGATATTAGGTTTTTTGAGAGAGAAAGTATGAGTTTTTAGAGAGAGAGAACGAGATTGGGTTTTTAGAAAGAGAATGATTTTTAGAGTTAGTAAGAAAGATTGAGTTTTTAGAAAGAGAGAGATATTAGGTTTCCATTGAGGGAAAGAGAGAACCATTCTTAGATAGAGAAAATGAGTTTTTAGAGATAAAAGAGAGATTGAGTTTTAAATTTTATAAAAAATATTTGAGCATATATTTATTTTTGTTTTATTTTTGCCTTATTACAAACAAAAAATTTTTAAGGAGTGGAGTTAAATAAAAAAGCTACATGGGCTGGGCCTTATTAGTCCCAGTTGAGGCATTTCTGGGCTTATCAAAGCAGCTCGGTCAGTTGAGCAAATTTTGGGCTTTTTCAACCTAGCCCAATAACACTATATACCCACAATGGCCAAGCCCAGCCCGGCCGGAGGTTTGTTAATTGGCCCTGCCCGGAAGCCCGAGGCCCAGCCCTATCCAATGGCAACCCTAGATTGGGGCCGCTTCAGTCAAATTCGGATTTGCTTCGGGCCGATTTGGCTAAAGCAAAGAAATATTTCTAGAAAAGCATTTTTTTTTTTAGCTTTTTCCATTATTTTTATATATATTATAAGAAATGACCTTATGAGACCCTCCCACACCCATGTGTCTAGGACCTCAAAGGATCACCATTAAATTTAGCACAGATCTCTAGAAAAGTTATCACATGGGTATGAAACTTGACTTTTCTAGATATCTGTGTCAAATTTAATGGTGATTCTTTGGGGTCCTACACACACATGGGTGTGGGAGGGTCTCATAGAATCATTACTCATATTTTATATATAAATATATAATTTATTTATATTATTTAAAAAAAAAAAACTTCCTAAATCTTCCTCCGAATTGGCGGAAGCACAGAATTACTTTATTTTCTCACCAAACCGAAGAAGACTCCAAAACAAATCGGACAACATTGCCTCTTATAGTAGTTCCTAGTTGACAAGGAACTTCTATAATTACCCAGTTGTGAGCGCCGATAGTTCTAGTTGTCAAAACCTTTAACAAAATTTATTTGGAAAAATATACAATGAGACCATTTATCTTTTGTACAAGATAATCACAATTAATCTTGACCTTTAGATATGAAATTGTTTGGTTGCATTTATTCTATTGATCAAGCACAAAATTCTGAAGTAATTGTACAATAGGTAAGGGTGTGATTTGTATAAAGCCCATGCTCTAAACAATAAATGTAAGACACACCTATAAATAGTGTTGAAAGATGTTGTTTCAATACTGGAACTTCTTGTGATGGCCTAAAAATTTATGTTCATCTTCTTAAAACTTCAAAGATATTGTTGATGGAGTAAATCTATAAACACTTGTAACTATTGAAAAGTGGCGGTTCAAAAATTGCATTACAAGATGCATTATTTCTAAGGCTTGGAAATCTATTTTTTCTCATGTCCATACATCTTTAAGTCGACATGACCAATTTGAGGGTTTTTGAGCTTCAAAGTAAACTGCTTTTAGTGAATTTTTTTAGTGAATTTTTGAGGTGTGCCGCTTAGAAATGTTTTAAAAAACGGTGATCCAAATCCAATGAAATATAAGATCCGGCCTATGAAATATGAGATCCTATATAGAATACGGGGATTAAATGGGGTCTTATTAAATACGGGTGATTAAATGAGGGGTTTATATGTAATTAAATAGGATAGGTAAAATAATAAATTGAGGTAAAGATAGGGGTGATTAAATAGGGTGTATAGAAGAATAAATTTTGAGGTAAATATTGAAATATAGTAAGTTTATCAAAAAAATTTGAGGTAAATTATAGTAACTCATGCAAGCATAAATTTATTTATTTGTTTTTTATTTTCATTAAAACATGATTACAAATCATGTTTTGAGCCATAAGCATATTATATTTTCTTATTAATTTATTTATATTTTAATTACATAAAGTATTATTTTTTGTTATAATTGTACATAAGATTTTTTTAAATCAGATAATATTATAAGACAATTTAAATTTGTACTTGTTTGTATAGTAAAATAATGATGAAATATAAATCAATAATTTCAATTTCAATATATAATATTATAGTTAGGTTGTAATAATTTTGGATGAGTAAAGCGAATTAATAAATATTTGATACTTTGATGTGATAATAAATTCATTTTATATGGGAAATTATTTTTTAATTTTATAATATGAAAGTGTTTTCTAATATTTTTAAATTATTTTGATGCTATATTATAATAATATATTATAATTAATACTTATATAGACATCCATACAGGAAAACAGCTTCTCAGTATGTACATATTTTTGCAAAGTAATGAAAGTACATAATGCATCACTATTAATTTCTTTCAGAAACTAAAAGAACACTATTTTTAGAGATTTATAATGATTTTTTGAAAGAAAAAATTGATACAAAAATTACTGTTTCGACTGATTCTTCGATCCAATCCACCGATCCGACACAAAAGAATGGGTGAGGCCGATTCAGATCACCAATCCTTTTTTTTAAACATTGATTTAGAGCTTTTTCCATAGGTAAATGGTCACATGGTATACAATTACAATTGATTTAGATCATTTGTGACAAAACTTTTAGTCGAATTTTTGGCTTAGTGAAACATTAAAAATGATTTACAATGTTTTAAATCTGAAAAAAAAATTGATCTGAATGTGTTCATTCGGAAAATGATCCATAAATATATAAAAAAACGAAAATTTTAAAACGAACAAATGTTATACTTCGCTACTTTTTCTCTTATTTTTTATTGAAATTTTTGTGCCACTCTGATAGGAACCAAACCCCAGTACGTGGGTCCTTTTCGACAATTTCATGGATATCTCTAATGTAGTCATCAATTATTTTTAAGAAAATAAAGTAAAGCTATCTTATATGATAATTTACTTATCGTACAAGGTCAATATCACCCTTGTCCCTTATCTTTAAAATTAGGTGGTTGTAAGGTAGGCTCAAAGTTAAAAAAAAAAATTTGAATTTCGTGACTCACATCAAACTATCCAATTTGACATCGACTAGAAGTACTTCCCCCCTCGCCCGCCCGCCACCAGCCCGCCCGTAACAAAGATATATGGTTTAAATAAAAAAGAGAATATTAAATTTCGAAGAAATCAAAGGAAAACAAAACTAAAACCTTAAAAATGATGGATCGGGTTTTCAATAGAGCTAGCAACTAACCGAGGTCGGGCCTGCCCTAACCCTAGCTCGGCCCTAGTCCTCAAAGGGCTAGCCCTGGCCCAAGCCAGGTCCCAGCCCTATCAAGGTCAGGCCAGGCCAGGCCGGGCCAAAAATAAAAAAAAAGGGTCAACCTGGGCCAAACCAGTCCGACCATTGCCCAAATGCGGCCCAGCCCAACCCTTGGGTTGTGTTTACCTTCTTGGATCCATTTTGTAGTCCGGGACCTAGTTTTTTAAGGCTAGGCTGATAAGACCGAGCCATTACCGGCCCTAGTTTAAGAAAGGTGAAAAGTCCCGGATTTAGTTCTTTTGACCAATTTATGGCATTTTGTAGATCATTCAGGGAAGACAAGATACAACAAATTAAGAGAAAGTAGTACCAAAAAAAATGAGAGAATGAAACATTTTAAATTCAGACCAAAAAGCGGAATAAGAGACACCTCGATAATTGATGAGATTCTTGAGACTCGCCTCAGTCTCGAGGGCTTGGCCGATTCACGGAATGGGCATAAATCACCCTATTCACTACATGGAATCGGACGAGTGCTCTAAGAGAAATCCGAGTCCTGATTCCATAGAGGACTCCAAATGGTCACCTACCAATACCCTAGAGGCTCGAGCAAATCTGAACAATACATTTTGCCATCCAAAACCCGTGAAGAAATAGTGTCCTACTCTCTCAGTCACCATCTGAACCATTGTATCAATGGTGATGACCCTCATGACCACATAACTAAACGTGGCCATTAAGATTATAACCTATGGACCTTAGTTCAAACTTTAAAATACTTTCTGAACTAACGTTCCACCTATTCATATCTCTCGTACAAAATGCAAGGAGTCTCTAGGAACTTCAGTATGTTAATTTGTCAAATGTTTAAAGAATTTAAACTTTTCTAAGCTACATTCTTCCAGTACTTTAAGAAATAAGAACTGGATTGTGGGTCAAGCAGCCCGGGGATCCGAGGGGCAGATCGTCGATTCTGATCCTGAGGAATAGCCTGGTAAAATGAGCAAGAAAATTTTTTGGGAAAAAAGTTGATGCACTCAGGAATACCTCGAGTCTCCCGATCGAATCGGTTGATACCTACGATGAAAAGCCTAATTACAAATAACCACGGGCAATATTACAGTTGGGGCCATAAAAAATAAGATACCGCTACGTCGAATTAACTCGGACAATTCTAAGGTGGCTTGCAACTTTTGAAAACACTGCATCGTGCAGTATGCCCTTTGTGATCCAAAAGCGGGAGTGGTGAAGAGATTGGAAAGAATCCAGCCTCCACCCTGTATGAATGAGAAAAGGAGCACCTTTGTAAAGAACTCGAGTTGCTGGTTTCCTTGACATCCACCTCCTCGCCCCGCTCAAATCGTAGCTCCTGCAGTAACAAACCATGGCCACCTAGAGCTTGCCATAACTGCCTAATGGTAGGCCTAGCCTCCGGCGCAGGGTGTGAGCATAACAAGCCTAACTTCAACACCAGCTCCATCTCTTCCTTCACATACAAGCCATTAAGCTTTGGATCAGAGGCCTGCACAATTTTTCCTGCAATGTAAAGATCTCGCACCAGGTCTACCAATATCATTTCTTCAACTGCAGCCTTGGGCTCCATGGGTTTACGGCCGCATGCCACCTCTAGCATCAATGCACCATACCCATAAACGTCAGCTTCGGTTGTGGGCTTGTAGGTGCGTGTGAGCTCTGGCGCCATGTAACCCAGTGTGCCCACTACGCGAGTGGTTTGGGGGTTCGATCCCTGCTCGTATAGCCTCGCCAGACCGAAGTCCCCTAACCGGCCATTCATCTCAGAGTCGAGCAAGACATTGCTGGCCTTCACATCTCTATGCACCACCACTTGCTCCCATTCCTCGTGGAGGTATAATAGGGCAGCCGCAATGTCCTGCAATATCCTGTACCTCTCTTTCCAGCCCAGAATTGCTCTCTCCTGCTGCTTTTCGTGTTCGTCATCATCATCATGAAATATCAATCGATCGAGGCTTCCATTGGGCATATAATCATAGACGAGAAGTAGGTCATCCTTGCGCTTGCACCACCCATGGAGCTGGACCAGGTTCCGGTGGCGCAAGTGCCCGAGGCACGCCACCTATGCAATGAATTCTCTAACCCCTTGCTTCGAGCTATCTGAGACTCGCTTGACCGCAACCTCAACCCTGGAGCCTGGAAGCACGCCTTTGTAGACCTTTCCGAAGCCCCCTGAGCCAAGAAGCTCATGGTCCTTGAAGCCTTTGGTGGCCAGGTAAAGATCCTTGTATGCGAACCTGTGCGGGAGGTCTCGTTCCCACTCCTCTGGAGTTTCAGAGAGCTTTGCCCGCCTAATCAAGTATGCCGCCGCCGTTGCGGCAATTGCAAGGAGGAGGAAAGTTCCAGATATGGATGCCCCTATCTTGATGGCTAGTGCTCGTTTCGGTCGAGCGGGAGGCCTAGGGACAGAAGGGAGACGAGAGAGATCTAAAGGTTGGGCTTCCATGTTCAGGCTAAAGCTCCATCCAAGAACATAATGTTCGGCTTCAGCCTTCAGGGTTGCAGAGGAGAAGCCAACATACATAGAAGGTAAGAGGATCGATGACAGGTCGAGGGTGTGGGAGATCAAATACCGATGAGGCCTGGCCACTCCGAAAGGCGCTATCGTAACTTCGATGTTCTTTTCGTGAGCGCTGTATTCTACCCAAGCTTGGATTCGCACCCCACTGTCTAACAGGAGATCTTGCTTCCGGTTGTTTTCGGAGTAATAGGAAGCGGTCTTGGAAGCAATGGAGACCAGGCTATTGATGTCGATTCCGACATGGTTGCTATCTATGTCACCCTTCATGCCCTCTACTGTGTCAAATTCTACAGCAAAAACATGGTTAGAGGAGCTCCCATCAGTGGTGCTATTGAGAAGACCAAGCCATTGCCCAGCTTGACCGCCGAGTAGGAGGGGAGACGGAGCAATGGTGAAGGCCAGGCCATTGCCTCCTCCACCCGGCACCGGGGGCACAATGGCAAAAACAAAAGTAGTACTGAAAGAGGTATGACTATCGAAGCTTAGGGGGCGGGGGTAAAATGCGTGGCCGATCGAACTGAAGGTCTCCTTTGTGAGCTGAACAGCACCGTTGTGCCTTTTGATGGCCACACCATTTAAGCTCAAATTGGCAAACTGGAAGCCATTGAAGACGAACCGGTCGCGTTGGGCTCTTACTGTGGCTGCACAGAACCACACAAGTGACACCAATAGGGACGTCATTGCTGCGGTTAGGGCCATGGTAGAGATGGCTCAAGGGTCGGATATGGAGCAAGTTTTATTGGTGGAATCTCGAGAGGTGATCATCATGCCATTTTTGTCAAATATAAGACCTAGTCTGGAGAGGCGGCCCCTGATGGACGTTTTATCAGCTAGTGTTCCCAGTTCGTTATTGGTCCAATTCTATAAAATTTTACAGAAAATAGGAAATGCTATCCTCGTAGGCGAAGCGAAAATTATAAAGAAGGTCAGCCAATCATTTTTTTCGAAATGATATGGATTTTCATATCGAATTTTTTATTATTTTTTTAGTTTTTTCTTTAATGCACTCCCTTATTAAGGAAAAAACAAGAAAGGAAATAATCAAAATGATGAGAAATTTTGAAAAAAAAATGAAAAAAACAAGGACTGACAGGTCTTTTTTGTAATTTTTTTCTAAGTAGAGGATTTTGTCTTTTACCTAATATTTTAAGGTCCGCACGTTAATTACTCTAATTTTTATAATATTTTTGAGATATTTGGGTAAAAAAAAGCAGAATACGAAGATATTTACTTTTAAAAGTCACACTTACTCCTAATCATCAAATGTGAAATAAAATGGCTAAGGATGTATAGTTAATTATGCACAATGCTCAATAAATTTCGTCAAACTTTTTGTATTTTTGTAGTGTCCAAATTTCAAATCTAATGGTTAGAGATGATTATGCCTTTTTTGTACCAATAAAATAATTAATTTCACTGTATATATTCCGGTAAAATAAATCAACCATTCCTTCAAATTTTTTTCTTCTTGATATTTTTCAGAATACCGATCTTGATCCAACGATTGGGCATGTAGACCGTCCACCCTACGGACCCATCTCTTCAAACATTGTTAGCAAGTAGGAGACCATGGGCATGGAAAATATGTCCAGATATGAGACATATGGGTCTAGACTTGAGTGAGATTAATAATGGTAGAATGAAGACTACAAAGTTTCACACGCTTGGGATGCATTTCATCTGTGTTTCTCTTCTCTGGATTCATGGATTTATACACCGTGGGCCTGTTTGGATGCAAGATTGGATTATCAAATAAGTAACATTTACAAGCTTAGACTTCATACTCAAAATCCCCTTAACATCCCCACCTCATAGTGACTTTTTTTTTTTTGTTTTATTTATTTTTTATATTTTGGATCGCAATTTCGAACCGTTCAGACTCAATCTAGATACCCAATCCTACAATCCACGCCAATTTGGGTCCCATGCCCACCAATCCGGGATTTGAACAATTCTTCGAACAAAGTTTGAGGAAATTTTCTCCGTCTCAAAGTTAAGTTCCGTGTGAACAATGCAGACGCTCGAAAAATCAAATCAGTTGATTTGATTAGGGATGATTATGAGCCTATACTTTCTTATTCAGAATAGCAGTAGCCTTTTGGTTGTTTTTCTTTTACCGGTAAAGGCAAAAGATTGAATATAATTCACATCCGGTGTTATATAGAAACAAAGAAGGGAATATTTTAGATGCCATTCGATACCAGCTTTGGACATCGTACCCTGATTACTTTTTGTCCGAAAGCGAGAGAGTAGGACCTCATGTAAAATATGAGAAAAAAGTGGACTATACCACCACAAAAATATTACCGCATGGGCATAATTTTTCTTTTCTTTACTCTTCTTAGAGATCACCAAGAAGATATTTTTTAGGCATGTCCATGTCCGGCGTGCATGGCCATGAAATTAAGCCACAAAGGAATCGAAAAGGGATTTTGCTAATGCTAGGCAAGGGTATTCGTAAAGTCCCGTGGATGTGAAAGTAAGCAGACAAAGATATCATATGTCATACTAAACAAAAACGAAAAGAGGATGAGGTTTTTATAAGATATAGGTTTCATGAAAATAAAATAAAGTCTCATCTCAAATCTTCATCTGGAAAGCATTATTTAGGATGAAATCTCTATGATGCTTCTAAAATCAATTTCCAACCCCGACAATAAAAATTGAAACTAAAAAAAGTGATACAGATCTTGTGAATTTGTGAATACTTACTTTTAAAAGAACATGGACGGTCCAGATAATTGTTACAATATACATTATTTTTTTAGCTTGAAATCCTTCTTCTTTTTTTTACAACCATAATGTTCAAGTCAAGATGATCGATATAAAGGTTTTTCAATACTTGACTTATAATTTTCAATGGATTATAAAGTGAGGATTTACTTATTTTGATAGGGGAGCAAACCATTTGTCACATTAAAAATAATAATAATAATAATAATAATAAAATAAAAAGAATAAAGGGTCATATTTTAGTAGTGGAGGAATGGGAAACCTTAGTAACCAGCGATTGAGCTCACCCGAACGGCAAGGAAGGTTTTGAGGATTTAATTTTAATAATAAGTGGAAAAGACGAACAGTCAAATGGATGAAATCAAGAAGTGATAGTTTCGCTAATATCACTAATATTCTATGGATTTGTGGGTGGAAAAAATGAAGGGACATTAGTTTGATCGGTCACGGTAAAGAAACTTTCCAAGTAATCTTAAAGGAAACTTCAAAGGGTAGGTGATGAATGAAAAAATTCTAGAAGGGTAGTTGACGAATGAAAAAAAATTGCAAAGTCCACGAAAATTGAAAGCATTTAGGGCCAATATCCCGCATTTTACCAAGACACCAGTTCATTCGAAGACTTCAAAGAACCCTCCTTTGGATTGTGGTGCGAGAGCCCAAGATTCGAAGATGGAGTATTTGATGATTAAAAGTCCCAGCCAAAATTTGTAATAATGCACAAGTCCCCTAAAAGGGTCACAAGAGGTTAAATTGTAAGATTTACATTTTTAGAAAGAACTTCTCAAAAATCTTCTCTAAAAACCTTTTCAAAATATTTTTTTAAAAAATTTACTCATATTCAAAAGTTAAAAATTGTTCAGCCCCATATGACATAAAAAATTGGGTGTATCTTTTACAAAACAAAAGCAGCCTAGGCGTCACCTTAAACTTCGAAGATCCATCGTGGGCATAACGTTGAACCACAAAGAAACGTCCTAGGCATGATATTAACCAATGAAGTTTCATCCTGGGCATGATGCTAAACTACAATGATGTTCATAGGATGTAAAATTTCTTAGAGGGCACCATGGTTGTATGAGCTTAAACTATCTACCCGTTTTATTTTTAAAAAGTCTCATCTTTTTCAAAATTTTGAATTTTGTATATTGTGAGTTCAAAACTTTAATTTTCTATGCTCAAATCGTATACTTGGAGCTTAGTTCTCTTTTCAAAATTTCTCTATTTCAAAATTTATGCGATGTTTTATAAAACGGAGGAGTTCGAAAGTCAATACGTGACGTAACTGTGTTTCTGCCTTCTCAAAAGTCTTGCAAATGATCTGAAAATCTTTAGGAAAACATTCCTAGTAAAAGAAGCATTTCCCAAACAAATCTCATAAAAAAAGGGGAAAAGGGAATTAAGGAGAAGTAACCAAAGTAAAAAATTGAGAGACCCAAAATTGAGAAACTGAAAGCCTAATATCAAGTGGCATGGCCAAAGAAACATTTTTAGATGATCGCCAACATGAAGAAACGTCCTAAGTAAAGCTCGTGTCGACGAAAATTCCCTAGTTGATGGAGTGGACTTTTATGCCCTTTAATCATTTGGTATTAAGGGAGAAAACTTAGAGCTGTCGCAGGTGTCTATTTCTTTGTTGCCCATTTATTCTTCAAGTGGGATAAACAAAGATATTTGTAGACACCCAATTTAAAATTGACTAACTTCTTTAATTCCTAAATTCTAAAATTTCCAAAAATTGTAACTTTGAACTCCAGGGACCGTGCTAGCTTAGTGTATCGTAGTTTGTAGTCCACAATTTTTATGAAACCCAAAATGCAAAATCTAATAAGAACTTGTCCCAGATTGATCCTGATCAGCCCCAACAACACACAAATCTTATATAATTGGAATCCAAGAAACAAATTTTGATTTTCACGAGCGTTAACCTACACGACCAAACCCCTTAAGCATTATGGGATAGCAACGTGGGTCCGTCCCTTCACTCGATTTTTAGACATAGCGTCTCCAGAATTTGGCTATAAACGCACGCTCACGTTATTGACTTCTCTGCCGACATCCGTCCGTGCAACTTCCATGACCCCATACATCCTCACCTGCTCTCATACAATGAACGGTGCCCTAGAAAAAGGTGAGAAAGCATATGGACACCAGAAAAAGTGACCTAAAGCCAAGACAAATGGAAAGACAAAAAGGTCAAAATTTTATTTTAATTTTCAATTGCTAAAGGTCAATTATTTCCTGGACCGCATTTTTACCTATGTTATGCGGTCCGGAGAGTGCATCTCAAAGATAGATGCGAGATGCAAGTGGGTGTTCCATCTAAAAACAATGAAAATTAAAGGTCTAAATGTTTTCTTATTAGAATTATTAGTTTTTGTTATTTATTTATTCATATTCGTGATCTCGATTACATGTCTTTAAAATCCATCTAAAAAATAGGTTTATTAAGAAGCTCGCATTTCTACATATGCGGGCTTCGTCGCATAGAATCGGGGTCCATAAATAAACCCACCTCCACATATTCTTCCGTCTTGCACCGTTTCTCTCTCCGAGGTAAAAATGGCCCGAGAATCTACCCCAAAGAAGAGGTAGCAGCGTTGCAGCACAAAACCATAGCTATTCTCCGATTTTTTTTAGTTCAATCCCCAAATTTTTTTTCAGTCCCCATGTCTAAATTATGGTAATGGCTTGTGCAGGTTGGAAGGGAAGGCAGCCATCATCACAGGCGGGGCGAGCGGGATAGGCGAGGCGACCGCACGCTTATTTGCAGAGCACGGAGCCCGTGCTGTTGTGATCGCCGATGTCCAAGACCAGCTTGGCGAGCAGGTTGCGGCCTCCATTGGTGATCGCGCGGCCTTCAAGCACTGCGACGTCACGGACGAGGACCAAGTGAAGGCCGTGGTCGAATGGACTGTCCAGACATATGGCTGCCTCGATGTGATGTTCAGCAACGCCGGCATCATCGGCCGCACCACCAGCATCATGGACCTCGACCTCAAAGGCATGGACCTCCTATACAGCGTCAATGTGCGTGGCATGGCGGCTGCATTGAAACACGCGGGCAAGGCAATGGTAGATGGTGGTGTCAGAGGGAGCATCGTATGTACCACGAGCATCGCGGCGGCCGTCGGGGGCGTCTCACCCCACGATTACTGCCTGACGAAGCACGCCGTGTTGGGGCTGGTGCGCAGCACTTGCAGTGAGCTGGGGAAGCATGGGATAAGGGTGAATTGTGTGTCCCCCTACGGCGTGGCCACACCGTTGCTCTCTCTTGCTCTCAGGGACAACGGGTTCGAGGGGGACACTGGAGACATAGAGGACCTCTGTGCCCAGCTTTCAAACCTGAAGGGGGTTGTGCTCAGAAGCGAGCATGTTGCCGAGGCCGTACTGTTCTTGGCCTCGGATGAGGCCGCTTTTGTGAGTGGCCACAACCTGGCTGTGGATGGCGGGTTCACAGTGGTGAACCACGATTTCAAGATTTTCCCTTGAGTACGCATTATGGGTAGTGGTGTACAGTACTTAGGCCGGGCATCAGCCGTTCGCTATAGAGATGCACGGGAGAGATGAATGATGGTACATCTGCACCGTTTTCCATGAGATCGGACGGTGGAATGCCCCAGTTGGGTATTATGCATAAACAAATCTGATATTATCCCGTTCCTATTACTTATTCCTACTGCTTTTTCTGTGTCTTGCGGCCATGTCTTTAGTGGTGGATCACCTAGGTCGTACGGTAGATCATAATAAACAGTTCGTTTTCAATATGTTTTTATGCTTATGCCTTTTAATAATTATCCTACTTTTTTTTTCTATTTCTAATGGTGGAGAAAGCCTGTTGAAGGGATCCAAAAGACCTTTGGTCGTGAACATGCGAAGGAAAAAGTTTATGAGAAAGTATGCATGACCCACTTTGAAAAGACAAAAGGAAAATGATTTGATTGGGCTGCAGCTTCATTTCACAACTCATTGAAAATTGTAATTCAAGCATTAAAAAACCTTTACATCAAATTATCTTGGCTTGGCTTGAACATTACGGTTGTAAAAAAAAAATAAATAAATAAACTTTAGACATATGGTTATAGTAATTTTCAAATTTTATTGTCAATATTGAAAATTGATTTTAGAACCATGAAGGACATTTTCGTTGCCGAAAGTGCTTTTTGAAAGAGGATTTGAGGTGAGGTTTTATTTTATTTTCGTAAAGCCTAGATTTTATGAAAACTCATCCTATAAAAATACATCTATACTTTAAATTTTATATTAATATTAAATAAATATAAAATATAAAATATAAACTCTCTGTGTAATTTTTATTAGAAGGCAGCAAATTGCTTCTTTTTTTTTTTTACTTTTGTGGTATGTTAGCTGTGATCAAACAGGGTCTGTTTGATAACTAGAAGCAAGTTCATGAATTGCAAATTGGAAGTTTCTCATAAACTGTAAATTAAAAATTACTTAAGAAGTTTCTTGATAACCTGTTTGGGAAGTTAAAAAACCATTGGTTTCTATGTTTGATAACCTCATCTCGAATGTTAAGTAAGTTTATTAGCAGTAAAAGTGATAGGTAAGATATATAAAGTAAAAGTTGAGGCTTAGATATTTTTTATTAATTTTTATTAATTTTATTTTTTGAGATAAAATATCAATTGAAATTAAAGTCCGTTGTATTGAGAGAGAGAGCGAATAACTCTTTACCGCAAATGTGAAACTGAAATTGAATCTATTTTTTTCAAAATTAAATAAACATGCAATGAACAAGACCATGCCAAGAGGAGCATGCAAACCACGCTCTACAAGAAGTATCGAGTTTGTAAGAAATCAGAGATAATCCATTTTCAATATAAATCATAGAATTCTTCCATGAATCAATATCTGCTTAATAACTGCTCCCATGAACCAAATATAAGACTGAACCAAGTCGTTTTTTGGCAAACCAATAAACAAAAGGCAAAGAATGTGACATGCTATTTCAATATAAGCATGCAAACCGTGTTGTAAGAGCTTTATCTACAAATTTAAGAGTGGAAAATCAGAAGGGTTGATGGTTCGTTTGAGAAAATCTTTTAAGAAAATGAGAAAACAATATGAAACAAGCAAATTCTCAAAATTTAACCATGCAATGCCAAATAATGGAAAAATTATCATGGGGCAAAAGGATATCCAATTCAGTACTCAAACAATGATTGCAAGAGCAATCATCCAATTTACGGTAAAAGTAGACCTAGTGAGAAGAAAGAAAAAAATAAAATAAAAAAGAAAAAGAAAGGATTCACCTTGGAGATAGTTGATGGGTGAAGAGAGAGAAACGGCATTTTGGTGGTGGGGTTGCCAATTCTGTGGCATCGGATGCATCGCCTGCAACAATACTCTTATTTTCTTCTTCTTCACCAACACCACCACATTCCATTAAACCCAACCAAATTACCCCCAAAAAATGAGATATACAGGGCCCTAACGATCAATCAGCCTTTATTTTAAATCAATTCAGAAGAATTACAGAACCGATTTACAAGCAATCCCTCGAATTGAAAACAGTGAATGCATAATCTGCGTTTTTTGGCATCCACTTTTTCTATAGGAAAGGGTAAAAGCCCTTAGAGAGAGAGAGAGAGGGGGCGTTACACAGAAAAGGGGCTGATGAGATCGAGGTTCAGACCTTTTTCCCCGCAGCTGGTGAAATAAACTGGTGACAAATAAACGAGATGAGCAAACCCTAGGGAGCAGAGAGGGGTCTGGCTGAGCGGCGTGGCGTGGCGTGGCGTGGCGTGGTGTGGCGCGAAGAGAGGGGTGGCTTAGCGGCTGGCGAATAACAGAAGAAGAACAAGAGCCTAGGCACAACTTTTACTGGCGGTGAAGTTTTATAAAATCTTCCCAACTTCCGACCTTTTGATCTCAACTTGTTTTTTACACAGGGGAAAATAAACAGTAAAGTGAAGTTTCCTAGTTAACGTCTATTTTTTTTATCAAACACAGAACATGTGCAAAGCTCCAAAACCACTTCCTTCCATCAAACGCGCGATCAAAGTAGGGCAAATTTCTAAACCACATAGAAGATAAAATTTTGGTGGCAAAAAGTCTTATGTACTGGAATTTTATTTTTCCTGATTATAAAATCTAAATGGTGCGTATCGAGCATGTCTATAAACAATTCAAACCGTTGAAAATAAATGGTCTAGACGATGTTTTGTAAGATGCACTATTTTAAGGATTTGAAATCTTTTGTTTTTCATTGTCATACAACTCAAGGTTAAAAATGATCCGTCAAAAGATTTTTTAATACCAAAATAACTATTTCTAGTGGAATTTTTTTAGGAGCATCTTATTTCTCATATTCATGATCATGGTTAGGATTATAAACATGGAAATTTTAAATCCAAAATCCCTCTCTAAAATGGATCTTATGGATCTTAGAAAGCAGTCACTAGAATGGACATCTCACACGCTGAGACGATGTCCATTATTGTCTCTCGCATTATAATTGAGATGCTCAAATGTGTATCAAGGTTTATAAATTCTATATGGATAACAGAAACGAAAGTATATAATGTTGGAATATGAGGGATGAGATAGACCCCAAAACTTCAAGGATTAGGGGCAGTGCCATGAGACTAAAGATCGCAGAGTGAAGGGTTTTATAGAACAATAAAAACTCAAGCTTTTTTGTGTGTCTCTCCTTCTCTGTGTGTGTTTCTCCATGGCCATGAAAGGCCTAGTTATAGAGGATGGAGGAGGTCGTTCTTCAATTTTTAGATTTCTTCTTAAAACTAAACGTGGCCCTGTAATCCTGAGATGTGGGTGATTATTTTTTACCTATTAGATAACATCATTTTCTCTCTCTAAGAAGATACATATTTTAATGATAAACATAGACTTTAAGATAAGGAGAGAAATATTTGAGGGCCCTATGGCTACCCATACATGCCAACATTCTCCCACTTAGCCATGATGGCCAGGTATATTGAAATAATATCATTTAGTGATCTAACATTTATGAGCATATCATTGTCATAAAGTTTTTCACGTTAGTGCGGTTATACATCTCATAACAAAAAATATCTAAAGTTATATCATGGGGTTTTTCATGTTAATGCGGCTTTTCCTCTTATGATCAAAACAACAAAGAAAAATATCCCATTTTGGGAGTTCTTGACAAAAATATTTTTAAGTCTCATCAAAGCTACATGCTTTGATAATATTTATGCACTCAATCATTTTGTCAAAGGGTCTGCAATCATATTTAAAGATGGCAAATGAATTACAGTTATTTCATTCTTTTCAATAATTCATCAATGTAATGATAATCAATTTTAATGTACTTACCCTTGGAATTATAAGCTCTATTTCTAATTGATGAAATAGCAGCTTGATTATCACAAAAAAATTTAACAGGTATGTCGGCTATATGCAGCGTCAAATCATTTATGAAACATTTAATCCAGACGGCATAAGTTGTAGTAATGCTACAAGCAATATACTCGGCTTCCATAGTATACCGAGCTATACAACCTTGTTTCTTGATAGACCAAGAAACACATCCACCTCCAAAGAAGAATACAAATCCTGAGGTTGATTTTCTATCATCTGGGTCTCTTACAAAATATGTATCAGAGTACTCAGTAACCTCTAAGTTGTCAACTTAGAAGCACATTTGATATTTTTAGTTTTCTGAATATATCTGAGTATCATTTTTACTGCTTTTGCCAATGAGCCATTTCAAGATTACTCTGAAATCTACTAACAAAACCATATGCATGACTCAAATAAGGTTTTGCACACAACATAGCATAATTTATGCATCCTACAGCTTGAGCAAATTGAATGCTTTCCATTTCAACTTTGTCACTATCATTTAATGGACATTTTTTTTTGACAATTTTAAGCCTTTACAAACTGGTGTATCTATGGGCTTGCAATTTTCCATTTTAAATCTCTTTAAAATACTTTCTAAATAATTTTCTTGATATAAACATAGAAGTCTCGAACGTCTATCTCTTGTTATCTTAATACCTAGTACATATGAGGCTTCTCCCATATCTTTCATCTCAAAATAAGAACTTAGCCATGATTTGGTATAGTTACTCATGTCTTTTTTTCTAGAAGAATATTTCAGACCATATAAAGATTTTTTAAGCTTGTATACTTTATCTTTTTGGCATTTAATTACATACCCT